CTACCGTAGTCTTTCACCTCGGAGTAGAGATGGACATGTAACGAGCGGTATAGCAGAGGGAGGACTATCTGTCTGAATTCCTTGCAGACAAAGACTGATGTTCATCAAGGAGGATTTCGTTCGCAGCTGAGATAGTAATTAATATCCAGTTAGGGTAATTATGATGAGAAGCACAGCCGTACGTCCTCAAATATCATGAGCTGGATTTTCGAAAGAAGCCTAGCTAAGGACGCAACCGCGTATTGAAACTGACATTTTGGCTTCTACCAGACGCGGGAAGGGGAAGAAGAGCTAAGCCAGGGCAATGACAAGCCAGAACACTATCGCGATAGCGGCTGGAATGGGGTAGGTCATAAACTGCTCGCAGAGTTCGTCGTGTCTTCTTGCTGCATGTATGCTTGTGCAGCAGTGTTGTGTCGGAGGGCGAAGTTGCGTTGTGGATTCTGAACTGGGGAAGAGGCGATCCAGTGATAATAGCATTCACTACCAGAAGTACACCCAGGCTTTGAACATCGGCTCCCTGTACTCCCCCAGTGACAACGAAATACCTCTGGGTGTTCACTCATAATTAGGACTACAAACAGTGTTGTTGGCGCGAAAACCCACGGTACGAAAGACTAACAAGTCGCTGGTGGTGATGTACTTTGCTATGTCAGGTCGATCGCCCCGTCCGGCTCCTCCATTTACCTAGTAAACCCTTGATTTTCTCGCCGAGGATCTATGTGAAGGTCGCCCTTTCTCATCACTGACAGTGAGGTCGAAGAGAGATGACGTTCAGGAACGCCGAACTCTCAAACCCTGAAGCGCTATTCCAAAAGAGGCAGCGACTCCTCTTGCTTACTCAGCACGTTCATCTTCCGAGGTCCCCAGTGCCCTCATCCGATGCAGTTTTAATACGTCAAACTTCTCAATATGTGACTTCAAGTAGAATGATCCTGCATCATTCTCCAAAATGTGTTCCTACGCTTCCGAATATCCCTCTTCTATTCCATTCGACCCAGCATATAAAAAGTTCTTCGAGGGCTTCTACGCTACATCAGACACTCCCGACGCACACGAGAAATACGTAGACTTCTTCACAGAAGATGCAACTATCATCATGGCTTCAACACGCAGAAAAGGGCGAGACGGTTAGTTTCCCATTCACTCCATTCAATTTGGTACTTCAAGCTCATTCACAGTGATCAGAAATACTCGCACTTCGAAAAGCGCTATGGGAGAAGGTATCAAGCAGGGTTCATCGACCCTTGAAGATCTTTCCATATGGTTCCAATACTGATGAGGTCATGCTTCACGGCACTGTGAAGTATAGCTTTAAGGCGGGTGGCGAGGGAAGTGTTGATTGGGCTGCGTATGCACATTTGACGAAGGTTGATGGGGCTGTGAAGTTGAAGTTTTATCAGGTATATCTGGTGAGTATCTGGAATGGTGGGGAGAAGACGCATGCTGAACTAAGACAGGATACTGCGGCGCAGAAACCTTAGAATAAGTTCAGAGAGAGTAGGAAACAATAAATTAGAACATGAGTCCATACAATGATAGACACAGTGACGTACGCTTCTAGGTATCCTTAAATGTGTCGTACAAACTCCAACACAGTAGATAATCAAACTCTTTCCGCACCTTCATCGGCTCACATATCTCACACACCTTCCCCACTTCTTGCACATAATAATGCACTTCCGGACAGATTGGTATCCATGCTGGAGCCTTTCCCTTATCTAGTCCATCACCCCCAATAATATAAAGAGATGTTAATTTTCCATCGTTTGCTTGGAGCTTACCCGCATTGTCGAGCCGGAAGAAGTCACGAGAGAGAAGACACGGCGCAGATGGGTCGTCGAATATCCATTTTCCTTCTATACCTAAGGAGGATATTACTTTAGTTTTGATGTTGCGGAAGTCGGGAGGCCATCCCCACTGTTGGTTGATTTGAGGGGAGTTGGAAGGATGTTGGTACATAGCGAAGCCAGTGAATCTATGTTCAAAATATATCCTTCCGCTATCTGTCGTAATACGGGCCCAGCCAGGTGGCGGAGGGAACTTCGTATATGGATCCAGAATCGGAGATCGGCGGAAGTGCATACGTTCTCCTGATCCTGCGAGCATGTCTGTGTAAAGAAGTTCTCCAACAGTATCTGGATTGTACGTGCGGGTCCATCCACCGTTGTATAGCTTGTGCGTATATTCGAGCGAAAACTGAGGTTGATAGGGAATTTTAAATAGCCATTTTGGGATTGCACTGACAATCTCCTGATACCTGACGGCGGACATGAAAGGGGGAAAGTCCTCTGGAAGGTTAGTGTGCCATGCTCGGGTAAGAAACTTCAATATGGTCAGCCACCGTTTCTCTCTGTCAAGGCATGGGGCGGCTCTCCAGAAAATATACTCCGGATAGAGGAACCTTTCGATACTTTTATTCCATTTGCTTACGGCTCTCAGTGCGCAGTCGCAAGTACCTTTGGTGCCGACGCACGTCTCGCATGCTTCAGTATATTGAGTATTGATGTGATGATGTTGGGGCAAGGGGGGATGATCCGCTCGGGGCATGAAGGTTGTTGTTTGTGGCTCTGTATGTTCATACTCGAAGTCGCACTCGTGTAGTGATTCGCTATCGTACGTGTTACGGTTTTCATTACAATCGCATCCTGGGTCGAGAGAAGAGCAGGATAATTGAGTCGTGTTGGAGAAAGACGGGCGATGAGTAGAGGAAGCGTATGTATCGGGGGATGTGGAGAGTGGCGAATCAATGGTTGGATTACGGCTCGTGCTGCCTTGGCAAGTACATTCCTTGTTGTGACAGCAAGGGCAAGTTCCTAGTTGATGTGTGCCACCAGGCAGATAAAAAGTTAACATCAATTGCTCTTCTGATAACGTGTCGCAAACGCACTGGCTAGTGCCACATAGAACACAAGCCTTATGCCCAACGATTCTGCAAAAGAGTAAGCTTTCGTAGGCATGGAAACGAAAAGCGCGAAGTCATACTGGTCTTGGGACTTTATGAGTGTCTGGCAAGGCTCTGGAATAACCTGGCTTCGATGCGAGGTAGGAATTGAGGCATTAGAGATGCGATCGTCATGCCTTGATACGGAAGTTTGGACTGACTCTTCATCGTCACTCTCACAGGTTGCTTGATACTCCCGATTCGATTTCCGGGCTGTGACTGTCGAGGAGCTTTCGAAAGAGCCCACTTCATCAAGAGCACCACTACCAATCAAGGTCTTGATGTAAGCCTTGATTCTAGTCTTGTGTTCCTCAATATCCTGCGGGGTAATGCCCTCGTCAGGTAATTCCTTTTTGAGGACGTCCCAGATATCTGCATCTTGATCTTCATAAGTTGAAAGAACTGAAGCTGCCCGTTTGCCTTGACGAAGATCGGCCGCAATGTCGTCAATTTTCCTTTCGATCTTACCAAATTTTCCGCTCGAAAGCGACGTGAGAACTACATTGAGGGCTCCTAAGTTCGTGGTGAGTTTACTCCGGATATCTGAGAGAGGTGCACTCCCAAACTTCAGTAAATCCCAGGTACTTCGGTCGCGTGTTCCAAGGCGTTTATATGTGGTTAAGAGGGCGTCCAACTCCACCAGTGCTTCCCTGCAGTTCGAAACAAGGTGAAGAATTTGCGTTTGACATTCTGGGTCGGCCTGACTGAAGGCGGAATCCTGATTCTCAGCATCTCCCACAACAGATAAAACGGTATGCAAGCTGCTGAGTTCTCGAGTCGCTTCAGAAAATTCGTTCGGCGCGTCTTGACATTTGCGCCAAGTATTGCGGACGAGATGGATGATGGTAAAGAGATCGCTAATGGAGACTCCGGATAACATTGTCAAACGGGGGACATTCTCCACATATCGTCATCATAACGACTTAGGAATGTGAAAGAGGAAAAGCAGCAGGCTCTGACTGAAGGAAGTGTTACTCACATGGGCTCAGTGCCCACTTTGCGACTAAGGTATGTCATGACAGAAGGCTGTCCACTTACATTGCCAGATTCGGATTTGCCTCATTTGCTGCGTTGGCTCTGCAGTGAGGAAACGCCATATCCAGAAAGCGAGCCAAACACCGCCCACCGTCGTTCACCGGAATTCAAGAAGCAGAATCAGGTGTGTGGAATACGAGCACCGTCAGGGCGAGTCTTAAAGATCTCTCTGAACAATTGAAGAGGGAATCCAAAATGCTGCAGCGAAAATCCAGTCTCCTGAAAGATTAATGTAGAGATTGTCATTAATATGGATACCAAAAGCGGTAGTTAACCTTGTGTAAGAATTCGGAACCTGTAGGTTTGAAGTTTGACGAGGAACTGGGGCTGAACAGAAGGATTATGATTGCAATGAAAGAATGAAGGACTGCCGCTTTCCATCTCGGGCGGGACACAACAAAGCCCATCACCTCCAACACTATTACCCCAGCTCTACGCTGGCTATAATTAGGAATACAAAGAGCTTCATAACGCTAGATGTAAGTATTTAGACTGGATGATTCGAGATTCGACTGGGTATATAGTGTAGGGTGCTCGTTGAAGCCCAAGGTGTGCTCTCAGTTGTCCAGTCGGAGCTGGATGTGGGATGTAATGCAAATTTTTTCTTTTGCAAGGCTCCAGGATTGTCAAACCCCCCATCTGTAGATGACGTGAGTAGGCCAAGCTGCAGCCGACGTTTGAATAATGTAGATACGGAGAATGCCATTATTTCGTGATGGAATTCTTGAGGGACTTAAACCGAAGAGAAATGTTTCGCCTGGAGAGGGCTTTAGTCCGAACCTGGACATCCCTACACCACCTTGGGAAGGTATTCGCACAACTATTCACCCATGTGACCCCACATGAAAAACTCTATGATCATATTATTGGACTTTTGCCGATAAAGCCGGCAGAATCACCCACAAATAATGCCGAAAATCAAAATTCTGACTCATTTTCGTGGAATTCGTGAGAGTTACTATTGCTTCACTATATATATTATTTAATTTTCCAAATCCATCAAATCAATTAGAATTAGCCCGGTTAGCTCAATCGGTAGAGCGTGAGACTCTTACGTATTCGCGTTCTCAGAAAACGATTGAATCGTCGCAATCTCAAGGTTGCGGGTTCGACCCGTAAGTTCCACTACTCTGTGTTAATTCTTAGATTAATTTCTAACGTACTGCAGCCGCATCGGGCTTCTAAAAAATTTCTTTTTTATTCTACTACTCACCTTTCACCTCCTTTGAGTCGACCTTCCTCATCTCTTAATGACTTCAATAACTCGAATATTACTGATGCATTTCCTTTTGCTCCTCCGACGATACTATTTGTCGAGCTTACATGAACAGCCATTTTACTTGTGACTTCTAATCTAAGTTTTTGGAGCAACTTCAAACACTGAAGCATTGCCCGATTACCCTATACTGCATTCGCGTATATGTACATCGGATACTAGAATTCTTCTATTTCTATTGCTACTACGCGTTTTGTTTCACTGCTACCAATCCCATGTAAATTTCATAATCTGGATCCACATTCCAACCCCAAGCCGTTTCTCTTAGTATGACTGAATTGAAGCAATATCCTGCTTGATTTACGGGCCTTCGCTCCAAGCTGATAGCATCGGGCTAGACGACAGCTGTGCAGAATTAACCTCGCTGCCCTATGCTATATTTGTCTAGAGCTTAATATGATCCGCGCCCTTACCCGATCTCTATGTCGCAACGCGTCATGACTTCATGCAAGTCAAATACGAGTCCGTAAGGCAAGTAAAGAACGCAGCGCAGCAAAGAGAAGCACCGACTCATCGAAAGATACAATTCGTGCAACAATCTCCTGAGATTTTCGCATTCAGCATTTTCGTGGCTACATCGACGTATGTGACGCCAATTGAAGGTGCTCAACCGGAAGGATTTTGACTACAATAAGACGGCGTAGGGTAAGATGTAAGGTCAAATTCCGGTTCTACTCTGAGATGTGCCATTTTTACTTTTGCTGCGCAGGATCTGATAAATGCTAGAGTACTAGGATCTTTGCACCGCACACATATGCTTGAAGAAGGTAATATTGTTATCTCCTTAACCAACAGAAAAAATACTGAAAAGTGCTTCTAGAAGGGAATAGCGTGTCTGCCAACCATACTTTGGGATTTTAGCCTCAAAGTGTCGCTCCATGGATATCTGTATCGGGCTGCTTCTTAGATCGCGGCCATCAAGAAGGGCCTCTCATGCTAGGTATACCGCATCTGTTCTTTGTTTCCCTCTTAATTTAGTACAACATATTTCGAGCTAAACCCGAAATGCTCCGGTCTAAATACCTAAATTTGACTCTAATAAACCCCTCTAAAGTTATAATTATACACAGCGTAGAGCCAGAGCAAAGATGTTGGAGGCGATATAATTCGTAGTATCCCACCGAAGTGGAATGGGTCGGGATGGGTTATCAAGGCATCTACTTTGATCTTTTACAGTATTCATCAACGAAACGTTTCAACTTACTAAATGGGAAAAGCACTCAAATACAGCATTCAAATTTTGCCTTTCTATATCTCGCAATTTCTAAGCTGATAAAAAAGAAACTCTAAATCCCCACCCACTTCCAGTTCCTACTGCTCTCTACATCCCATCCATCTCAGCATCATCTCGTAATACTCCCCGCCCGCTGCCTAACAGCACTCCTACTCCTACTACTTCGTCTCCTTAACTCCTCCTCACCCTCATCCAAGCCCCCCCTCTCCCCACTTTCCTCCTCCGCACCCTCCATCTCCGGCGGTCCCCCCAAACTCGCTAACACCGCCTTATTATTCACCGTCAAACCATCCAGGACAGCCAACTCTCTATTCGAAAACCACTTAGGCATGACAAATTTTCGAAAAGGGATGAGGGCGATGATTAAGAGGGGAAAGCCGATTGCGGCGATAGTCTGGGATATTGCGACCGAGGCAGCGACGCCGAGAACTTGGAGTGAGATATACAGAGCGACTTTGCGGTGCGGGATAAGGAGCAGCTCGTTTGATGGTTGCAGGAAACGAGGTTCGGATTGGAGGTAGAGGAGTTTGTGGAGGATGCCGTTGGATTCGATTGAGCCCCACTGAAGGAATTGAGTTAGTTCAAAATTCTGAAGGTAAGGTAGAACCGAGATGGTGACTCACACCGACGACGAAGAACACACCTGCGAAGACAGCAGCAGGAATTGTGTGTAAGACGACTAAAAGAGGTCCAGCCATCGTCCCTATCAGTGCGAGACCCATCAGAAAATGTGATATCCGTTGTTCGACGACGGCGGTAGCTTCTGTGAACGGTCTCCTGATCTCCGTGTCTTCGCCATCGGATGTGTGAATTATTTCGAGGCGAGTTTCGTAGACAGTTAAGGAGTCTGTGTGAACGGGTGCCTGAGTAAACGGTTAGAGGATGCGTATTCATTGTGCGGAGATGTGCGGTGTATCTTACCTGTGGTACTAAGCCGTTTGGCATAGGAAGGCCAAGGATGCATGCAACGAAGGTAGTGCAGCCCAGAAGAAAGAAGTCCCAATGGAAACCAGCAGGTTTCTTGAGAGGAAATTGGTGTGCTTGCGCGGTGAGGCTGCTGACGTTCTACATGTCTGATTAACATCTAATGCGTGATTGAGACCAAGAAGTGGCCTACATGATCATAGTAAAACAAGAGCATAATCAGGAAACCAAAAGGTATGGCAACAAATATCCACTTAACATCCAAGTTCCAGAAATCGATGAGCCAGCTTCTTGGTTGCGTGGGATAAAAAGCTTTATGAATGGGGACGAAGGTGATAAGAGTGTTTTTCAAGTTCCCAGGTATGTGAGAGAATCCGACCCAGAATAAAGTCGGAAAAACGTAGGCGTAGTCCGCAATGGCTCCACGAAACCATGGCTTCCACATCGTACTTGAGCCGAGCTTTTCGAGACCGTAGACCGATGCGAAATAGAGGATCGCAATCATGCAACTGAGATAGCCAGCGGAGCTGCCTTCGACGCTAAATTCATTCACTAGCTCTTCGACTCCCTTGACTGTACAAGACGTCAGTGGCCAGAGAAATTTTTGTAACTCCTTAGTGTCAAAACGGATACTTACTTACGTATATGATCCCAACATACATGCCGAACGACTCGCTCGAGAAGTCTGTAACATACCGCATGTAATCACAATAGTTGAAGAATGAAACTGCCCAATGGAATATCGCTGCCCAGATGCCGGTCCATGCCATGAATTGTGGGTACAATGAGACGTCATACTGCTTGATGATATCGTAAATGGTGTAGTTGAACAACGATATGAGACCCGTGACTCCCACGATGGTAAGAGGTTGAGCGGCAAGGATACTGAAGGCCATCGCGGCCAAGGCGGAAGAAAAGAGCGCTTCATTGATTCCGTAGAATTCGCCGGTTCTGCGTGTCATATCGAGTGTATATGCTACAGCTGGGAGTAGGCTGTCACAGTTAATATATGTCAGAGAGAGGAGTGATATAAAGGGTCCATACTTCACAAAGTATATTCGAACAGTACTGGCAAAGGTTCGGTAGGTCCAAGCATCTGTGATGTCGCTCCAATAGAAAGACCACCGTCGTTTAACATCATGGTACATTCCTCGTCCTGGTCGGAGTGTCCGATATCGTCGCCATCCTCGTTCACCCTCAAATGTGTATGACTTGTTCGTCTTGACTGATGTCAACTTAGGTTCATTCAAACCTTCAGTGTCCATCTTCTTGTTAATCAAATCAAAAACCCGATAAGATCAGAGAGATACTAATTAAATAAAAAATTTTCGGTTTGCCAGAGAAAAGGCACGACCGTATAAGCACCAAAATACCGACGAATGAGGGTACGCTTGAGGATAGAACGTGGGCGAACTGGCTCCTGAAGTCAACAGCAATTTTATATTATTCAGGCTATTGCCTCCATCTCAGCACGGCGTACCTGATGGGGAACAGGAGCACTAGTGTGACTTGGCGTGAAGTAACTGCATTTGCTCAAGATCTTGAGCCAAATTCCCACATATCGTCATAGAGAACAATGGTGAATGGAGGCTTGAAATCAAGGGCAGGCCGATCTGAGTATACTATATCCCTTTGGTTTGTAATGGGACTTTGGGAATTTCTGGTAATAGTATTCTTGTGATGTTGACGATCCAAGACCAAAGTCAACTGCTGGTGACGTCCACTATTCGGCCCGGTTCCTGCTGCGGGAAGCGGCGCACGGCCAACGCTTTGCAAGCTCTTTCTGGCAGCGAATCAGCGATGGAGAAGCTATATTCTGCTCGGACAGCTCGTGGGAAAGTCTTGGGTCTCAGTACCGGTGAGAATAACTGCGAGTTCCTGCAATAGCCGAGATCGCTGAGCAGGACGAGAAAATGAGATACCTGAGCAATAAAGTTGGACATACAAGACGCTGAGTCTAACTTTGGGGCATCAATGCTCATTCTTCTGAAGATCAGGTCTACTTGAAGAACTCTCGGATAGTGTTCCTGTGAACCATCCGATGAGCAACTCTTCGTCCCAGTTGACGCCAGAGGGCGTGGTTGAGTATTCCTCGTTTGAGACAAGCGCGCAAACCCTGAAAGTTGGCTAGAGTTAACGATCGACGTCATAAGACTTGAACGATTCCCCGCGTCTCGACAAGAAGCTCCAGGATCCCTAATTCCGGACTTCAAGCGGTGGAAGCTGTCGTGTAGAAAAGCTTGATCTACCTTATCGTTTCAAATATCAAAAGAGGAAATGCTGAACGACTCTCGCCATGAACCCTTTGGAGCGGATCGAAGGACTCTCGGAGTGCATTGCTCGAGCGATTCAAGAGCATCTTTCGAAATCATATGTACAATGGCCGTTTGCCGGTAACCTCAATCACCCGATCTTGCGCGTTGAGGCTTTTCTCGAGGACGGAGACAGGTCCAATGCTTCTAATGCTCCCCCAGAAAGGATTGCGTCGATGTCGGTGAGTTGCTCGGCGTGTCTGGGTCACTTACTTCGATCTGTGAAATAGATCCCGCGTCACTGATAAGGCGATTCCGCCACACGAAAGATAGAAGGGCTGACTTTGGATCATAGCGTACACTAGACTTGACTGGCATCATTACGCCTGCGCAGTCCAGAAGTCCGACAATAAATCCACCAGAAACTAATAATCAACCA